ATCGAGGAAAAACGTGATAACAGAGCGATACGCGGATACTCGTCCGTGTGATTTACAACTCATTAGCCAATCATTTGTTTCCATTATGTCGTCCGGTACGTCCCGGTATAAATCAGCGTGACGCGTTGCGAATCGCTTCTGCTGCGGCCGGGCCGTGACAAATTGTGCCAGATGTAAATCGGTTAATACACGGTGGCAAAGGGGCACGCAGCGTAACGCGAAGGTCGCAACCGGCTGATCGATCACGGATCATTCCCCGTTGCCGAATTCCTTTGCCACCGCGTCAGATGGTCCACGATGAATGACGACAGCCGTTTCATCTTCCATGTCTGGCCGTGATACCATCTCGAAATCGCGACGTCGCTTGCGAAACCGCGATAAAAAAAAAAAAAAAAAAATATCAATGCACCAGAACGAATTTCATCGTCGGGAGTTCGTTCACTTCTTCCTGTTGTGAACGTCGTTCGAACGTCGAGATGTGCGAAGCAACTTCTCCGAAAGCTGCGACCGTGGCCTTGTGCCATTTCTTTTTTTTCTCCTATCAATTGCTTTACTGCCTCAAGGTTTCCCTGTTTCTTACCTTTGAGACGACTCTTATTGTACTGTATTGTAGATTTACTGTCTGTTCGTGAAACAATGGGAGCAGTCCGAGAAAAAGTCACAACAGTGCCTCGTTCATGCGTTGCAGCTTTGCAGCGAGTAAATTCGGGTGAAAAGTACAGTATAGATCAGAGGCGGCGAATTTTTTCCACTGTTGTGAACTGTTGCTCGTTCGCGCAATTTGCCGATTCCACCGATGGAAATTAGTTACCACTCTGTGTGTTTCTTCCAGCCGCATAAGTACCTTTTTCGATGTTCACTTAACCTTTCGAGCTCGATTTATTTTCAATGTTGCAACCGTAAAATTCAATGTTTCTTAAATTTATTATTATTTTTTTTACTTATATTATTATTACAATATAATTTATTTTTCATGACTTTTCAAGTACGATCATTGTGAAATGTGATCTCGAAGGTTATACAGAGTTTCATATAAAATTTGTCATCTCTAACGTGACGTACGACTTTAAAGGATCAAAGTTAAAGCAGTAGAGGGGATAACTTTACCGATCAAAAAAGTGAGGGCACGGGCCACGATCGTCCCGACCGCCGCCAGTTCGCCACCTCTGGTACAGATCGTTAAGGCTAAAACTACCAAAACAGTAAAAATAACCAATTGATAATTTTTGTTTAGATTTTATAGATAAATCTCAGACTTTTATAGACACAAAACAGTGTATTTTTAGGGACTTGAATGATTCTTTGTAAAACACATAAATAAAAGCTTGCGTACCCTATTATATATTATAAAGATTTTCTGTTTCTTTTACCTTAATGTCTCTGATTTGGAAATGTTATGCTTTAGTCGTCGGTAGTTCTAGTGTATAGAACAGAGCAACGTGTTCTGAATGTAAAAATAGAAATTTATTAATTTTTCCTAACCTAACACCCAGCTTCAACAACGAGAAAGAGAGAGAGGTTTAAAGTTGAGATTCTTTCAGAAGGCAAAACAAAAATCAGTGTACAGAGACACAGAGGCGTGTACTCGCGTGGAAAGCACATAAAGAAGGATACACAACGGCAACCAAGCTTTGTGTATTGGTCGGCCATAAATCACAGGAAATACGAGGTGGCTTTAATAGCCGCTGTGATTTTTATCCGGCGGTCAAGTGCGCGGCGAAAAAAAAAAAA